AATCCACCCGAGAGACCCAAAATACACCTGAGACACCCCAAAATCCACCTGAGAGACCCAAAATCCACCTGAGAGACCCAAAATCCACCTGAGAGGCCCCAAAATCCACCTGAAAAACCCCAAAATCCACCTGAAAAACCCCAAAATTCACCTGAGAGACCCAAAATCCACCTGAAAAACCCCAAAATCCACCTGAGAGACCCAAAATTCACCTGAGAGACCCAAAATACACCTGAGAGACCCAAAATCCACCTGAGAGACCCAAAATTCACCCGGAACACCCAAAATCCACCTGAGAGACCCAAAATGCACCTGAGAGACCCAAAATTCACCTGAGACACCCCAAAATCCACCTGAGAGACCCAAAATCCACCTGAAAAACCCCAAAATTCACCTGAGAGACCCAAAATCCACCTGAGAGACCCAAAATCCACCTGAGAGACCCAAAATTCACCTGGAACACCCAAAATCCACCTGGAACACCCAAAATTCACCTGAGAGACCCAAAATTCACCTGAGAGACCCAAAATGCACCTGAGAGACCCAAAATCCACCTGAAAAACCCCAAAATTCACCTGAGACCCCCCAAAATCCCCCTGGGACCCCCCCCAAAATCCAGTGGAACCTCCCAGTCCCTTTGCAAACCCCCCTGGGCTGGAACAGCCCAAAACATTTTTGGGGGGGGGGAATCAACCCCAAAAATCCTGAAAAGGGGAAAAAAATAAAAAAGATTTTAAATTTTGGGGAGGGGCAAAGACGCTTTTTTTTTGTTTTTTAGGAACTCAAAAAATCCCCAAAATTCTTTATCCCCCCCCCCAACGACGAGCTCTGATATAAAACTATTTATTCATAAATATTTTCCAAAAATGAAAATAACTTTACGAAAAAATATCAACTGCTGAGGGTGGTGGTGGGGGGGAAGAGAAAAAAAAAAAACCCCCCGGGGGGGGACCCCAAAAAAACCCCAAAAAATCCCAAAAAAATCCCCCCAAAATTTCCTTTTTTTGGTGGTTTTTTGGTGGTTTTTCGGTGGTTTTTTCAACCCTTAACCCCCCCAAAAATTCGGCAGCACCGAGAGGGGGAAATTTGGGGTGTCGCTGGTTCTGACCCCCCCCCCAAAAAGCATGCAGGGGGTTTGGGGGGGATTTTTGGGTTGATTTTGGGGGATTTTGGGTCCCCTCACTGCAGGTCTCGGTCCTCCAGGTAACGATACTCGAAGGTGAAGCCTTCCTTCTTGCGCTGCCCCCACTTCTCGTAGTCGAAGTAGATGTAAGTGCCCTGCGAAATTTTGGGGGGTGGGAGGGGTCAGGGACACCCCAAAAATCGATCGGGGGTCCCCAAAAACCCCGATCCCAAAAAAAACCCCGCGAAAATCCCAATTTGGGGAGGGGTTTTAGGGGATTTTTGGGGATTTTTTGGATTTTTTTGGGAAATTTTGGGATTTCAAAGGGATTTTGGGGTGTAAATGAAAATTTTGGGGTGCAGAAATTTGGGGAACCCCAAAAAATGATTTGGGGTCCCCAAAAACCCCGATCCCAAAAAAAACCCCACGAAAATCCCATTTTGGGGAGGGGTTTTAGGGGATTTTTGGGAATTTTTTGGATTTTTTGGAAGAATTTTGGGATTTCAGGGGGATTTTGGGGCTCAATTAAAATTTTGGGGTGCAGAAATTTGGGGAACCCCAAAAAAATCATCGGGGGTCCCCAAAAACTCCAACCAAAAAAAAAACCCCAAAAAAACCCAATTTGGGGAGGGGTTTTAGGTGATTTTTGGGAATTTTTTAGATTTTTTTGGAAGAATTTTGGGATTTCAGGGGGATTTTGGGGTGCAGAAATTTGGGGAACCCCAAAAAATGATTTGGGGTCCCCAAAAACCCCAACCCAAAAGAACCCCAAAAAAACCACAATTTGGGGAGGGGTTTTAGGGCATTTTTGGGAATTTTTTGGATTTTTTTGAAGAATTTTGGGATTTCAGGGGGATTTTGGGGTGTAAATGAAAATTTTGGGGTGCAGAAATTTGGGGAACCCCAAAAAAATGATTGGGGGTCCCCAAAAACCCCAACCCCCAAAAAACCCCAAAAAAAACCAATTTGGAGGGGGATTTTTGGGGATTTTGGGGAATTTTTTGGTATTTTTTGCAATTTAAAGGAATTTTTTGGGATTTCGGGAAGGATTTTGGGGTGTAAATTAAAATTTTGGGGCGCAGAAATTTGG